CTTTTTTCTATTCTGAAAATTCAAACTATGCAAGAGTTATCAATAATTAGCTCTTCAGTGCTTTGTACAAAATATAGCCATTAGCTTCTACTTGAATTAATGTTCCTGATGAACATTATTTTGTGGCCCCTTTTTATTATGGTTAATGGGTATTTACCCTTTGAGGGGTGGTAGTCATGGGGCTTTGATGCTGAAAGATTCCTTGATCAAAGGGTCTGCGGGCCCCCTCTTTTTCCTTCTGATCAAACCTGATTACCCCTTATTTCCCAGGTGCTGTATGACCTTTACAAGTCTAGTGCTTCTCCATGATTATAATAATAATAATCAAAAGTATTGAAGCACAAGTAGTGTGGCAATTATACATCTTAGTATAATAATGTATGCATATCTTCCGTTGTATAACTAAAGCTTTCATGGTAATAAACAAACATATACTATACAAAGTTCTGGCAGTTTTGGCTATGACTGATTTTTTTTCAGCACATTTGTAATGTTTATAATCAATCTTACTGGTTTTCTTTAACAATTTCAAAAACTTCAGTCTTCACAACACTTGTGTAGGGATTGCATTTTATATTCTAAATCTACTTTAAAGAAGTTCATTGAAAAAATGAGCAGTTTCTTTGAAACAAGGCATCATTTATACACACAAAAGTAATGGATAGAAAACAACAAAACAAGAGAATTTAGATTGTACAGTATAATGTTTATAATCATATATAGGTACATATATATGATTGAATCTACAACAATCATTTGTACCAAGTCTAACTTTTTTCCAAGCATAGTAGCAACTAAGACATGCAAAGGAAACAACTAAACATTCACACTGGAAAACACAACTACCATTAAATATCAATTCTAAACAAAACTGATTTACAATACATAAAATTAGTGACATTCCACAGGTCTGTGGCAACAGTAGGGTAAAGACATTAATTCTTGGCATCATAAAGAATACATTACCATAAATACAATCAGTACTATAATTTAGTTAAGGAGTTTCATATTGCAATAAAGTAAGAAAAAATGAACAATGGTTCAAGTCATATGACCAGCAATAAGTATGCATTTTGTTTATTACAGCTAACCTGAGTTATCTTCACAAATAACTTTTTCCATACTTCACAGCTAAGTAATTCAGTCCTGAATTTTAGTACACAACTGTATAGCATTCAGAATATGCAAAAAATGATGCAATTTTAAAGATTAAACTTTTAACAGTGACTATTTGACCATTCAAATAATGATACTTAAATTCCAGTGTCAAGTAAACATTACAAGAGTTCAATAAACAATAACTTTTAAAGAAGAGCGGTTGAAGAGACCAAAGCAGGTGAAGGTGAGATGCTCTTGCTCAATGTACATTATAACCACAGGTAAATGGAACAAAATGTAGTCCATTTTAGTTCCAAATGAACTGAACTGTTATATAATGAATAGCAATAAATTTACTTTAGTCGCACGAGTTAACTTTATAACCAATATTGTGTAAATTTTAATTGCTTGTAAGTCATCTGTATCCATAACTAGACTGAGGGCATTTTTGCATTACAGTAAGGATAATAATGATAATGACTAGATATCAAAATAAAGAAAAATACAAGCTTACTACAATTATACAACTCTGTAAAATTTAACATATGCAAAGTCCATCATAGGTCCAAAAATTTTAATCAGAGTGCATCATCTTAGTCCACATGTGGATACTATGTTAAAGAAAAAAGTAGCTGTGCAATGCTTATTTCAGCATGGAATATTACCAATGAACAAACATACATACATACACACACACATACAAAGATTCTCCTAACCATAGACCTGAGGCCCACTATACCAATAGTAGGTGACACCAAGAAAAACTGCCATACAACCTCTACAGTCAAAAATCACAGGAGTTTACAACAGGTATATATTGTATATAAAATCAGAGATGCACTAGAACCTTACCTATTGACATGGACACTCAATAAATATAACTGACAAACACGAGAAATCATGGCTAACTAAAATACACATGAGAATAGATGAGTGTCTGGATGACAAACTGTGCTTCCATATACTGGGGAGGGAAAAAGATGTATATAGATAGAATGAGTCTGCTACCTAAAAGACTCCCATTACTACAGCAACCTTCCCCCCCCCCCAAAAAAAAAAAAAAAAAAAAAAAAAAAAAATTGAAGTTGAATGAGACTTGCTGAAGACATTACAAGTGTGATGCTGTAATCATTCACATACAAGTCCTGTGTGTGAGCCTTGATTATTATTATTATTACACTCAAAACTAAATACTAAACCCACAAGGGTTATGTGAGCCTTAAACTGTAAAATTATTTAAATATCATAAAGAAGACTGAAGATGTATGTCACATGGATAAAGTTGTAGTGCATTGCTGTCTCTAAATATTCTTCACAAATGTTGGTGCATGTGTGCACATGCACTTGTGATTATCTATTTGCATTTGTGTATCTAAGATTAAAATTTAAGTACATTACTTGGTTTATATTTCATTATACATTTTAGTGATTATATCATTTAACATTAATTAAATAAATTATATATTTTGTAATAAATAAATATTAAAATTGGATCACTGATGTTTTAATATGCAACATACACTTAATTTAAAACATCTAAATTAGAAATGATTATTAGACAATGGCACAAAGTTCCACATCATGAAGTGTGATGAGAATATTGATGTTCACCTACATTACATGGGTACTAGTTACATCTAACCTATTTTTTTATGGCTCCAGCCTAGTTTTAAAAGTGTCATACTGTACGAATTAAAATCAAAGATCACTTGGCAAGTACATAAAGGTTTGCCATCATTAGTTGAAAATCTAACAGTGGTACCTTGACTTTCAAGTTTAATCCATTCCGTGACCTAGCTCATAACTCAATCTGCTCGTATATCAAATCAATTTTCCTCATTCAAATTAACTGAAATGCCATTAATCTGTTCCAGCATAATTCCTGTTCTCAGGAGGCAAGAGAAAATACTTCAATATAATGCTAATATCAACTCTATGGCTTATTTATCTATCACAACTGATCTAACATGACATAATAAACAATCACAACTGATCTAACATGACATAATAAACAACATACAGTGGACCCCCGGTTTTCGTAATCCGTTCCAGAGGCAGTGACTAAACCCGAATCTGATAATTTCCGAATTAATTTTCCCCGTAAGAAATAATGTAAATCCAATTAATCCGTTCCAGACACTCAAAAGTATGAACAAAAATTATTTTTTATAGATTAAATACAGATTTACATACAGAAAAGAATGAGAAATCGAGTATAAAACAATAATATCACACTTACCTTTATTGAAGACTATTGTTAGTGTATGGAAGATAGGAGGAGGGGAGAGAGTTAATGTGATGTTCCTCCACAAATGTTTGCACCTCACTCCACTTTGCACAAATATCCTTAACCCTTTCAGGGTCGAGAGGCCCTCTCCTAAACTTGTTCTCAGGGTCAAAAATTTTTCAGAAAAAAAAAAAAAATTATTTTTCCTTATGAAATGATAATCTTTTCCTGATCATGACACCAAAAGTATGAAATCTGATGGAAAACTTATGGAATTATGCTCTCACGAAGTTACCAGTCTCGACGATGTTCATGCATTGGCGATTTTGCCCACTTTGAGCCCTATTTTCGGCCAATTCCTGTGTACTAGTCAATAAAAATCATAACTATTTCGCTCGAACTCCATTTTTTCTATCGAGTGAGTACAAGAAACCACCCATTTACCCATTTCAACTATCCAATAAAGTGGTCAGAGATTGGCAATTTTGAGAATTTCACACAAATTTTAAAAGATGCCAATTTCCAAATAGGGTCCAGAATAAACAAGACAGACATTCCTGGCACTAAAATAACATTTCCTCTGTTCATTAGTCACGTCCCAAAGCCCCTCTTAGATTTCTTTTGCTTTAAACTTTTTATTCTCACAAAAAATAGAAGATTTACTGTTATGCAGACTACTGCATAACAGTATAAATAATATCAGTGCACTTGTGAAAGAATATTAGACTCACCAGCCGACGTGTATTGGACACGTAGCATGATTGTTTACTTTTGAACTATGGCAAAAATCGAACATTTCTGCTACTTTGAGCTCAATTTCAAGGTACTTTTCATTGTGAAACCAATCAAAATCATCTCAATTTCTGTAATATGTCTTCCATTCTATAAAATGAGTAAAGGAAAACTAGAATACAACCATAAATACCATACGAAAATACAATGGAAAGTCGCCGTTTTAAACCAAAAACAGTCAGTTTTTTTTTTTTGTTCATTACGCACTGTGTGCTGCAGGATTTTTTTTTATACTGTGCACACTGACCACATAGACCCATTCTTTCATATGTAGGCCTACCAGCTTTCTCTTGCTAGATTTGAAAGCGCTAGAATTTACGTGTAATAATACATTAATAACCCTGGTGTGTAAAATGTACTAGTACATCAAAAACCCTGAAAGGGTTAATCTTTGAAGAAGGCACCTTCTTCCCTCTCTCTTTCTCCTCTGAAGCAATTTCCTCAGCTGGTGTACATAAGAGCATAAGAAAGCAGGAACACATGCAGCAGGCCTGTTGGCCCATACTAAGCAGGTCCTTCACAAACCATCCCACTAACAGAATCGTATTTCCCCAACCCAATTTTCAATGCTTGCTAAGCAATAAGCTTTGATAATTCTATTCACTCATGTGCAAGTCCCACTCAAATCAAATCGTGTGTGTGGGGAAGTACCCTGGCTGGTGTGTGGGGAAGTACCCTGGCTGGTGTGTGGGGAAGTACCCTGGCTGGTGTGTGGGGAAGTACCCTGGCTGGTGTGTGGGAAGTACCTGGCTGGTGATGTTTGGGAAGTACTGGCATGGTGTGTGGAAGTACCCACTGGATCTGTGTGTGGGGAAGTACCCATTTGGCATGTGTGTCGGGAAGTACCTGCTGTGACAATTTGGAGTTACCTGGCTAGGTCTGGGAAAGTACCCTGGCTGGTGTGTGGGGAAGTACCCTGGCTGGTGTGTGGGGAAGTACCCTGGCTGGTGTGTGGGGAAGTACCCTGGCCGATGTACATAAGAAAGCAAGAACACTACAGTAGACCTGTTGGCCCATACTAGGCAGTTCCTTCACAAACCATCCCACTAACAGAATCATATTTGCCCAACCCAATTTTCAATGCTTCCCAAGCAATAAGCTTTGACAATTCTATTCACTCGTGCGCAAGTCCCACTCAAATCATATCATGTGTGGGGGGAAGTACCTTGTCTGGTGTGTGCGGTACTACCCTGGCTGGTGTGCATAGGGAAGTATCCTGGCTGGTGTGCATAGGGAAGTACCCTGGCTGGTGTGCATAGGGAAGTACCCTGGCTGGTGTGCATAGGGAAGTACCCTGGCTGGTGTGTGTGTGGGAGAAGTACCCTGGCTAGTGTGTTCTTTCTTGAATTCTATCGTGTTTATCGGTTCTTTACTGAAGGTCTGGCACTAGGAGCTTTCTTTTGGCCCATAGTGGCTTATTTAGCAGTTGCAAGCACTAAAAAGAATGGAATAATACAAAATGTATCGTATGAACGTGGGGATCATCCTCACTGGCTGATAAACAATGGTACACTGGCTGTAAATAGTGTGTCAGTGCATGGACACGTTCGTGACGAATGACTATTACAGAGTTCAATGATGATCACCGAGCCAACATTTTGACGAAAAACCTTACTTATTCCGAATATTACGAAATCCGATGTCTACGTAATCCAGGGGTCCACTGTAAATAACATAGAAACATGATATATACTCTAGAATGAATAAAATATGTTGTCATTATGTGACGAGTGGTGGCAGCCACTCCCGCTCCTGCTCTGACCATATCTTCCCATTCTTCCCCTTCTGAAAATGGAGTGTTTGTGAGGCTAACTGCACTAGATCACTAGTTTCATAAGGAAAACAGTGAAACAATGTAATTATAAATAAGAAATATTGTATAAAAACATAATAAAACATAACAGAGATTTTTTTTTTTTCAACAAGTCGGCCGTCTCCCACCGAGGCAGAGTGACCCAAAAAAGAAAGAAAATCCCCCAAAAGAAAATACTTTCATCATCATTCAACACTTTCACCTCACTCACACATAATCACTGTTTTTGCAGAGGTGCTCAGAACACAACAGTTTAGAAGCATATACGTATAAAGATACACAACATATCCCTCCAAACTGCTAATATCCCGAAACCCCTCCTTTAGAGTGCAGGCACTGTACTTCCCATTTCCAGGACTCGAGTCTGGCTATATAAAAATAACAGAGAATGTAAAGAAATAAACTGGTTTTATAAAGTAGTACGTAGAAGTGCTACGTCGGTACTGCCTGGCCAAGTCCACAACCCGCACACCTCACTCGTATTTATCTATGATTTAATTTTTTAATTCAATGGACATCATCCTCTTTCTTCTCAGCACCGTCCTTTGCACTTACTTTCTTAGGACCCATGGTTAGAAAAAAGAAATTTGGCAAAAATAACTGCACAAAACGCAAGCGCAACACAAGAGAAATGCTTCCACGGTGAGGTAAACACGTGCACTGCTGAGCGGATGTTGTGGCGTTCGCTGCACCAACTACTGGCAGCATTCTGAAGCTCGCTCGTAACTTGGATTTTGGCTCGTAACTCAGAGCGAAAAATAAACCGAGTGATGGCCTGTAACTCATACGTTAGGGCACTCGTAAGTCGAGGTTCCACTGTACGTATTCACAAAAAACTTTTTTACCTTTAACACGTGAAAAACTAACATTAACCAGATATTTAAAGAAGAGTGCTACAGGAACTACTGGAATATAATGAATACCAAATATGACTGATGTTGATGGCTACTGGTCACAAAAGCAATTCAAGTTTGTTCTGATCATTAATAAGACAGTTCAGGCAAGACTTGGACCAGGCAATTCTGATATCAGGTTTATTTACTGTTTATCCAGACTATAAACAAAATGAACAATATCTATCTAGGAGACATGCTGAGTAACAGGCTGGAGTTTTCTAGTATAAGCTGCCTTGTAAAGAAGTACATTAGTGTAAATCTCTTTGTCATTAAATATGTATAGTATATTTCACTAGTGTGACTTGCATGCAGTTTGCTATAATATTTACAGCTAGCCTCAGTACTCCTTGACCAAGATCACTTTGGTCATACCACAAGCTCATCAGTTCATAACGCTGAGTAAACACACATTGTTTATCAAGTACTACCTAAATCCACGAGTTGCTTTTTGTAGCATCAACTCGCTATACAAGTGGGGATTGTTTTGTGTGGTTGTCATAAATATAAAAGCTCTTTCTAGTTGCTGGCCAGCTTGGCTACATATTTCACTCATTATACACCCTTCCTATGGCACAAACATCATACTGCAATATTAAGTTTCACCAGTAACTAGGTAAGTTTTGAGGTATTACCTACCTACCTCCAATCCCAGTAGAGTATACCTTATAATATAAATATATAAATATAAATATATAGATATCATAAATCTTCCCCACCACTTTCTTATTTTTCCTAACCCTTCCCCTCCTCCTCAGTAATAAACTATGTATTTCAAATTTTCCTATTTATTAGTGCAGAGACTAGAAGATATACTAATTTAAAAGTGTATTACTATTATATATTATTGCTATTACTATAATAGGTATGAAGAGGTTTGATTCTTGATAAAATAATAATCATAATAGAAAACAATAAGAGGATGGTAGGCAGCAACTGTCCAGGCAGGTGTAATGTTACTATCCTGTCACTTTTTTTCAACATACTGCCCATTTCTCACAAAGGCAGGATAATCCATATTCACTAGCCCTTATTTCCTAGCTGTCTTTCAATGAGTGTATGAACACAATTAAAATACTCTGAGGAACCACATCAATTCCACCCATCCTCCACAGTGTAGTCACTATACTTCCTCCAGAACTCAAGTCCAGCTAACCTGTTTGCCTTAAACCATTCATGAATATTACCTTGGTCATACTTCAACAGTATGTCAAATAGCAAAGGCCACTTATCTTTACTAACTCAGATCTAACATGCTTACATATGATGGATAAATGCTGTAACCCCATCTTTCAAAATTATCTTCACACCCTTCTTCTGACCCTTCCTGGAATGTCCTCTACAACACCTCCCATCCATCCCAAACTTACGTGCCCTCTCATTCAGCCTGTCCTACTCTATTCTTTCTTAATAACCTTACCATCTCGCCAAACACTCATTGATTCATTTCAAATCCCTTTAGCAGATCTCTTGAATGTCCTTACTTCATACTCTTGTATTATATTTACAGCACACTTGTTTCAAACCTAACTCCATTATCTCCAACCTCCTCCTCACCTCATACCCATCCAAATGTTAGACCATTATACTCTGGTACAGTACTCTCTTTGCAACAACGATGAATCTACTTTACAAAGGAATCTCAATCCTTTAGCTATCTTCTTTTCTTCACCTATTCTATGATTCACCTTATCTTTCATAAACTTAAATGCATTGAAACCTCAATTTAATGGATTACTGGGGAAGGGGATGTCCATTTAAGAAGACTGTCATTTGACTCTCACTGTCCACCAGACTTCTGAAATTAAAAAGGCTCAGTGTCCACATTTGAAAAAAAAGAAAATGAAATGGTAGAATCTTTTCCTGAAGGTAATGACACCAAAAAATATAAAGTTAATGGAAAACTTACAGAATTACACAGGAACAAAGTTAGTAGTCTGGATGCATTTTACGTATTGGCGATTTTGCTGACCGAGTTCTACTTAAAACCAATTCTGTTGCTCAATTTGACCATATTTTTAGCCATTTTGCCTTCCATTCTATTGACTGAGTATATGCAACTGCCCATTCAACTATCAAAACTACTGTATAAATTTGGCCAATTTCACATAAAATTAAAAAAATTCCAGTTTAAAATTGTCCAAAATAAACACTATAGACAGTACAGGCACTAAAATGCCTTTATTCTGTGCAGTAATCACATCCCCAAGCTTCTCTTATATTACGCTTGTCTTCCATTTTAAATTCTTCACCAAACAAAAAATCAAAGATTCTCCCTATATCCTGCATAATATAATATAACCAGGTATGATTTGTCATGGTTTACAGCATTCTAATAATTAAATCAGAACCTAGTAAAAATCCATAAAACAGATTGGGGGTAATAGGGAGCCCTACCATTCCTCAGGAAACTCCAAAAATTGAACACTTTCGTTACTCTGAGCCCAATTTCCAGCTACGAACTTCTGATTCTGAAACTGACCAAGATCATCTCTATTTCATAAATATGTTTTTCATTCTATCAACTGATACCAAGAAACAGTCAATAAAACCATAATAACCACCTTAGAAAACACCTCAAAGCTGCTATTTTAAACCAAACACAAGGTCAGAGGACTGCATGTGTGTCTTACTTATCAGCTAAACTTGAGGTTTGGAAGATAACAAGTAAAAAGCACATATACAGAAAATGGAGTCAGGTATAGTGGCTCAACACTTGTTTAGTGATGCCTAAGCTCTTCAAGAAAGGCAGCTAGTGTGTAAGTAATAGCTAATATTTTCCTGTATCCTCCTGCCAAGTTAAAACAAATTCTGGGCATGTGATCTGAGATGAAACCATCCAGCACATCATCAGGTATTATGCATTGTGTATAGTGCAATGTGTAGCTTCCTTTGTGCACTGTTGCTGCAATGTGCATGCATGCACGCACGAGCACATACATGCACGCACACACATGTACACATGCGCACACACCTACTTGCCTATCTTCCATTCACAGCTAACCCACAATGTGGAGTAAATATTAGATACTTTTGTTTGTCCTGGACCATTACCAAACCACAACAGTTGTGAATTAACAATAGTTGAGGATGGACAAAAATACTTGTCAAAAATCTCCAAATGGAAGGTCAGTTGTGCACTTTGCCAGCAATGGTGTCATGACATGCTCTTCACCTATCCTCAACCCTCAATCCACTACATCTCATTTCTGGTAAATAAAATTTACTTTCCATAGTAGCCACCAGGAGACAATATTGTTCATTTACAATTGGAAGCTTTGTTTCAAGCCAGTATGAACAGGTATTTTCAATATATAGTCTAGAAATGAAGTAGAGAAAAAGTGAGAGATCCCTAATTCTAATACACAGTACTAAATATTGCACAAGTATAAAAAATCTGACAATTTTAAAGTATAATATTCAGTCTTATTTTGCATTATAATTAATATGGCAGGTGAGTGAGTTTGATGAGTAAATCAGGAGACAAGTTATTACCACTGCCAGGCACTATAAGCTATTTCTGCACACCTAAGCACATGCAGTCTCACCTTAAAAATCCTCTCACTTACTGGAAATGACTGACAATCTCTGAAGATCATTAAGATGGAGACAAATTTACTGTGTGTAGTTTGGTAAACAAAACATCTCTCCAATACAGTACTGTACAAAAATATAGCAGAGATTTATATAATAAATTTCTAATACTTTAATATAAATAAATACTTTAATTACTTGGATTCAAAGACTATATAAACTGTTTAAAATTTGAAGACAGAAGAGTAAATTTGAACTTGTCACAAAAATTATGGAAAGAATCATTAGTTCATTATTTACAAAATGTAAATGAATCAAACTCTCAACAAGAAAACAGCCATTTTGAATGTCTTGCTCTATTTAAAATTAAACATCTGACATTATTATATACTTTGATTACTTTTAATTCTTGAACATAACTATGAATATTAAATTACCATAAATAAGTGAATATAAATCTTTAACTATTCACAGGAACTAATATAACATTACAAAGAATATCTTTGAGATGCTGAAGCTCCCAGAGCTATGTTGCAAAATGGGTGATCAAAATGAGAATAAATACACAGATAAATTTCACACACAGTGCCAAGAACCTTAGTTCAACTCCCAAATATCCAAGTTTTCTGGAGGAAATTGGACCACTATCTCCTATGATTGCCAGGACAGCCAGGCAGTGATAGCTATGTATGCCTGCAGGCCACTCACTAGCAACAACAGCCTTGTTGACTAGGTAGTCAACAAGTAGCCTAGCCTCTGGCCAGCTTGGGAGGGTAGAACCCTCGAAACCTGTTACAGATATGCTTTTTTCCCCCTCTTTCCTTCACACTAACATTCTAACATACACTGTGGTGATTTATAGTCCAGCATATATAAAGCTGCTGCTTCGTTTAATATGAACCTTCCCTACAGACATACAGTGGGATGTGCAGTCTGAAATACAATAATTGCCACTGTATAATTACCATTATTTCCATCACACAAGACATACCTTTACATCACACACATCCTAATTTTAGAAGCACTTGTGGAAAAACTTTTAGTGCATGCTATCATACATGCGCTCTACTGCTATTACCATTATATTACTCTTGTAATGAGGATACCATTCATAATAAAAGTGAGGGAGTGAAGATGGAAAAAAACAAAAAAATGTTGAAGTTGTCAGAAACGCTGCCTCTAAACACGCATTACTGCAATCAAGCCAAAGATCAAAAAGTAATGTAGTTCAGATATTTTAGAAGTGTGGCAGGTGGTGGAATGTTGTTGAGGGGGGTGATGTGTAGTGGCCAGTTATGGAGGAGGGTGATTATAGTATCCTCAACTTCCATTCTTCTGGTGCTGCATGACATTTATGGGCTTAGAGCTTCCCCATAAACAAAATATTAGTTTTAAATATAATTTTCATATTTTCTTCCTCAATAATATTTTTGACGTAGGACACGTAAGATAGCTTTTAACGGTTTAAAAAAAAAAAGGCTTATATGATAGAGTATATGGTATATAGCCAGACAACAACGAATCAACTAAGTGGGGAGATGTTTAGTATAAGCCAACATTCTCAGGTAAAAAAAAAAATTATGTAAATGTCAAGTCTGATAAATTCAGTGGCAATTGTATGAGAAATAAATGTTAATGCTGGCAGAGTGGTTTAGTAAATAAAAGTTGCACCAGCTACCAGGATACAATTTTACTTGTATAAATTGAAAAATGACTGCGCTGGTGTTGATAGTGGAAAAGTGAAGCATTCACAGATGTGAACATGTGCAGGAGGTTCAAAGGGAAGAATTTTTCATTTTCCACTTTTACTTATTACAAGTCTGAAATTATTTTTGATGATTATCCATATCTGCTTAGCAATATTTGAATTAGTAACATGTACATATATAAAAATTGCCATAGAACACTACTCTAAAAATATCACCGAACGTGAATATAAATAAGTAGCGTGCATCTTGCACTTGCCATACAGAGGAATAAGCCTCCACCACTCCACGTGCCAAGTTACCCATACAGGTTTAGCACATAATTATAATGAATACAAATACCATTAATCCCATCTCTTCTTGCCATCTGTATTCTAAGCTCCAATGTTTACTACAGCAAAGAGAAAAAAATGAGGCACCCTCTTTGTGTTCTCAGTCTAAATCATACCTTTTAGATAACATATAAAACAACTGCTTGACAATGAACAGGTAAAGAAGCACTAAGTTATGTTTTGCAAGTGCAATGACCAATATTACTAGGCATCTAAGAAGTGTAAGTGGGAAAAGGGCAGTGATTTATGCTTGAATAGTTGAAAATGGAACGCCTACATCAACTTCTGAATACTGCTCACTGGTAGCAGTTTCCATGCTTTTATTAATAGATAAAAGCAATTTAACACCAAAGAAAACAAAAATATTGCATGATTTGAACAAAAGTATTTTGGCAGGATTGAACTATCAGTGACTACATTCTTAACATTAACTGTGTTAAGGCATTCAAATGGATCAACAAAAGTATAAAGACTAATCATTTACTTCCACGACCTCTCATCTGCCACTTCATATACAATTATAAGAATCGAAACATTCTTACACAATTTAAGTTTGAACTGCATAGAAATTTCATTCAGACAGTCACAGTTAAAGCAAGATCCCATTGGTTGACCAACATCCTAAGTATGTATATGCAGCAAGCATTTATGGCATTACAGGTTGTCTGAATGGAACAACCCACTTGTTTTAAGTTAAGCTTTAATATACATAACTTAACACTAGGTGCAGTAACTGCACAATGAATCCTTAACCCCTTGTACCTTTATTGCCAATGCTTAGAGGATGTGTCAAAATTTAGCTGCACAATACATACATTAAAGCTTTCAGTTCACATAAAAATTCCTTATTACAGTTGGACTGGAGAAAAATCACTAAGTGAAACTCTTCCATTCAGTGTAGTCATTAATATAGTATATGAATCAATACATATAGTTACTTGCTAAAACTAAAGCAAAGCTATATACCTTTTGCATTTCATGAGATAAAAGATGCATTAGTTCCTTTCAAACTGGCCTTAAGGATATTACCAAAAAGACAGCAAGATGAGGCAGTGGTGGTGGCAGGCTGCTGTAATGAAGATGAGGGTGTCTGAGATGTGCTGGCATCAGTCGAGGATGTGGTTGGAACCTCACTTGTACTCTGCTGCTGTTGCTGTTGTTGTTGTTGTTGTTGTTGTTGTTGTTGTTGCTGTTGCTGTTGCTGCTGCTGTTGCTGCTGCTGCGGTTGCTGCTGCTGCGGTTGCTGCTGCTGCTGTTCTTGGGAACAAGCAAATTGACGGGACTCCGTCTGACGAGACTGGGGCTCAATTGTCACGGGTTCTGTTGGCCGAGTATGACTCCCTGTTCAATAAAATTAAACAGTTTATAACTAGCCTACAAAGATAAAAGCTGAATGATACATTCTGTACTGAAATGCTGCCCAGTTTTCAACTCCAATTTGTGGATTAGCTTTGAAATGCTCCAGCCATGGAATTATGAATTTTATTCTTCTAGTTATTTACAGCACTGAAAATTTCACTTCCATAATACTAATGCTCAATATGCAATGAAAACACACATTAAACAGCATAATTTTTTGAGATGTGAGAATATTTTATATGGGAATGAATTACACACTTTTAGAATGTGGACAGTGTCAAAAATGAAGAAATAATGAGTAAATATGAGGAAAAGAAAGATACTGATCATTCAACATTGCTACCTTCATTTCTGTAATTTTTCCACGTGTCTTTAACAATATGGATCTATAAGATAAAAATCCATCACTTAATTTACAGTAAACTCTCTTATACTAATATGAAATCACATAATTCTTGGCTTCATATAAAGAATATAAAACAACGGGAGCTCTCAGGTTATATTTCAACTCTATATACCATTGGTTAGGACTTATTTAGATTATGTTGTATAGTTCCAGTGCCTGTATTATAGAATAAACAAATGAGCTGGAAAACATATAGAGTAGGAAGACAAAGTTGATTCCATGAATGAGAAATCTTTCCTATGAGGATAAACTGAGGGCACTAAATATGCACTCTAGAAAGGTGCAGAATTAGGGGAAATATGATTGAGGTGTATATATGGAAAAAGGCATAAATAATGAGAATGTAAATAACATGCTAAAAATATCTAACAGGACTCACAGCAATAGGTTCAAGCTAGAAAAAATTTAGATTTAGAAAGGATATAGAAAAACATTGGTTTGGTAATAGTGTATCGTTGAAATGAAAACCTTAAGTAGCTTTAAAAATAGGCTAGACAAGTACACGAGTGCATGTGTGTGGGTGTGACTTCAACCTGCCTAGCATGGACCAGTAGGCCTGTTCCAGTGCTTCTTCTTTCTTATGTTAATTGAATTTTATTGTAACATAATTGAAATAAAGCAAGTAGTTTCATAGTGCTCTAAAAACTCCTGATATTATATTCTGTAAAGCGTGAAATAGTATACCATATTATGCACAAAATCTGAGTTCTACATGTTGCAGAAATATTTTCCACCAAATCAAGTAGGTAGAATGAAAGGGGTAAGGCAGCCGGGATTGATGGGATAAAGATAGAAATGTTAAAAGCAGGTGGGGATATAGTTTTGGAGTGGTTGGTGCAATTATTTAATAAATGTATGGAAGAGGGTAAGGTACCTAGGGATTGGCAGAGAGCATGCATAGTTCCTTTGTATAAAGGCAAAGGGGACAAAAGAGAGTGCAAAAATTATAGGGGGATAAGTCTGTTGAGTATACCTGGTAAAGTGTATGGTAGAGTTATTATTAAAAGAATTAAGAGTAAGACGGAGAATAGGATAGCAGATGAACAAGGAGGCTTTAGGAAAGGTAGGGAGTGTGTGGACCAGGTGTTTACAGTGAAACATATAAGTGAACAGTATTTAGATAAGGTTAAAGAGGTCTTTGTGGCATTTATGGATTTGGGAAAGACGTATGACAGGGCGGATAGGGGGGCAATGTGGCAGATGTTGCAGGTGTATGGTGTAGGAGGTAGGTTACTGAAAGCAGTGAAGAGTTTTTACGAGGATAGTGAGGCTCAAGTTAGAGTATGTAGGAAAGAGGGAAATTATTTCCCAGTAAAAGTAGGCCTTAGACAAGGATGTGTGATGTCACCGTGGTTGTTTAATATATTTATAGATGGGGTTGTAAGAGAAGTAAATGCGAGGGTCTTGGCAAGAGGCGTGGAGTTAAAAGATAAAGAATCACACAAAGTGGGAGTTGTCACAGTTGCTCTTTGCTGATGACACTGTGCTCTTGGGAGATTCTGAAGAGAAGTTGAAGAGATTGGTGGATGAATTTGGTAGGGTATGCAAAAGGAGAAAATTAAAAGTGAATACAGGAAAGAGTAAGGTTATGAGGATAACAAAAAGATTAGGTGATGAAAGATTGGATATCAGATTGGAGTGAGAGAGTATGGAGGAGGTGAATGTATTCAGATATTTGGGAGTGGACATGTCAGCGGATGGGTCTATGAAAGATGAGGTGAATCATAGAATTGATGAGGGGAAAAGGGTGAGTGGTACACTTAGGAGTCTGTGGAGACAAAGAACTTTGTCCTTGGAGGCAAAGAGGGGAATGTATAAGAGTATAGTTTTACCAACGCTCTTATATGGGTGTGAAGCACGGGTGATGAATGTTGCAGCGAGGAGAAGGCTGGAGGCAGTGGAGATGTCATGTCTGAGGGCAATGTGTGGTGTGAACATAATGCAGAGAATTCGTAGTTTGGAAGTTAGGAGGAGGTGTGGGATTACCAAAACTGTTGTCCAGAGGGCTGAGGAAGGGTCGTTGAGGTGGTTCAGACATGTAGAGTGAATGGAGCGAAACAGAATGACTTCAAGAGTGCATCAGTCTGTAGTGGAAGGAAGGCGGGGTAGGGGTCGGCCTAGGAAAGGTTGGAGGGAGGGGGTAAAGGAGGTTTTGTGTGCGAGGGGCTTGGACTTCCAGCAGGCATGCGTGAGCGGGTTTGATAGGAGTGAATGGAGACAAATGGTTTTTAATACTTGATGTGCTGTTGGAGTGTGAGCAAAGTAACATTTATGAAGGGGTTCAGGGAAACCGGCAGGCCGGACTTGGAGTCCTGGAGATGGGAAGTACAGTGCCTGCACTCTGAAGGAGGGGTGTTAATGTTGCAGTTTAAAAACTGTAGTGTAAAGCACCCTTCTGGCAAGACAGTGATGGAGTGAATGATGGTGAAAGTTTTTCTTTTTCGGGCCACCCTGCCTTGGTGGGAATCGGCCGGTGTGATAATAAAAAAAAATAAATCAAGCTGAGCTAAAGGGTTGTGTGTTTGGTCTCCTTAGTAAATAATTTCTTTAATTTTTCCTTAGTAAGGAGTCAGGTCCAGCTAAGTGACTCTGGCAAGGAGTACTGGATATGAAGGCTTTGAAGACATGCATGAAGATGGGGCTGTAAAAGAAGTAAATGCTAGGGTGTTGGGGAGAGGGGTGGGATTAAATTATGGGGAATGAAATACAAATGGGGGTTGACACAGTTAGTTTTTTGCTGATGATACTGAGCTTTTGGGGGATCCTAAAGAAAAGTTGCAAAGGTTTGTGGACGAGTTTGGGAGGGTGTGTAAAGGAAGAAAGTTGCAACTGAACATAGGAGTAAGGTTATGAGGGTATCAAACAAGTTAGGCAAAGAAAAGTTGGATATCACACTGGAGGGAAGGGGTATGGAAGACATGAAGGTGTTCAGATATTTGGGAGTAGACTTGTCAGCAGATGGGTTTATGAAGGACAAGGTTAACCATAGAATTGGAGGAAAAAAAGTTAGCAGTGCACTGAGGTGTCTGTGGAGAAAAAAAAACGTTATCCATGGGGGCAAAGAAGGGAATGTACGAGAATATAGCGGTACCATTTATTTATTTATTTATTTATTTATTAACAATTTGAGCATACATACAGAGGTACAAAAAAATACAGATAAGAGCAGCATGCCAAAGCCACTTATACTATGCATAGCATTTCGGGCAGGCTTAAAATTAACTAAGCAATGATGAAATCAGTGATAATACATTATTGTAAACAGATAACTATAAAGCACAAATGAGTATTACAAAGACAGGTCATATAAGAACATAAGAACATAAGAACGAAGGAACACTGCAGAAGGCCTACTGGCCCATGTGAGGCAGGTCCAAGTCTCCGACCGGCTTAAGCCAATGCACCCAACCTAGACAGGTCAGGTCACATTGACTTAAGGGAGGAACACGGCAACCGACCTGTTAGCACAAGCTATCAGGTCTAACTCACACCCACCCACATCTACTCATGTATTTATCCAACCTATTTTTAAAGCTACACAACGTTCTGGCCTCTATAACGGTACTTGGGAGTTTGTTCCACTCATCCACAATCTATTACCAAACCAGTACTTTCTATATCCTTCCTGAATCTGAATTTTTCCAACTTAAAACCATTGCTGCGAGTCCTGTCTAGGCTAGATATTTTCAGCACACTATTTACATCCCTTTATTTTTCTGTCTTCCACTTATTACACCTCAATCATATCCCCCCTAATTCTACGTCTTTCTAGAGAGTGCAGTTTCAGGGCCCTTAGTCTATCCTCATAGGGAAGGTTTCTGATACATGGGATCATCTTTGTCATCCTCCTTTGTACATTTTCCAGAGAATTTATATCCATTCTGTAATACGGTGACCAAAACTGTGCAGCATAATCTAAATGAGGCCTAACCAAGGATGTATAGAGTTGAAGAACAACCTGAGGACTCCTATTATTTTGCTTCTTGATATGAAGCCAAGGATTCTATTAGCTTTATTGCGAACACTTATGCACTGTTGTCTTGGTTTCAGATTACTGCTAACCAGAACTCCTAAATCTTTTTCGCAATCCGTAATATTAAGATCTACATTATTTAGTTTATATGTGGCATGGTTATTGTCCTGTCCAACATTTAGAACTTTGCATTTGTCTATATTAAAACTGCATCTGCCACTTCTCCGACCACTGCATCAGTCTATTCAAATCTTCCTGGAGTGCTCGAATGTCCTCGTCAGAATGAATTCGACGGCCTATTTTGGTGTCATCGGCAAACTTGCCGATGTCGCTCTTTATGCCCTCATCTATGTCGTTTATGTAGATTGTGAACAGCAGGGGGCCCAACACTGACCCTGTGGAACACCGCTCGTGACACTTCCCCACTTCTGATTTCTCCCCATTTATGCAAACTCTCTGCTGCCTATTTGTCAACCATGCCTCTATCCAGGAAAAAATTTCTCCTCCTATTCCATGTGCTTTAATTTTCCTCAATAGTCTCTGATGTGGGACCCTGTCAAAAGCCTTACTGAAGTCCATATACACAATATCATATTCATTACC